TTGGGTATTTCAAGTTTGGAGGTATTATGAATGAAGCTGTTATGGAACATTCTTGTATATGTCTTTTCATCAACATATATACCCATTTCTGTTGGGTGACATTAGTGGGTCATTTTGTCAAATAGTTTTCCAGTGGATAAACCAATTTATATTCTCTTCAACAATATACCAGATTCTAGTTGCTCCACATCTGTACCAGGTTGAATAGTAACACTAACTCCCCCCACCCCCCACAACCCCGCCCCATTCATGTCTACCTGGAACCCATAAATAGGACTTTATTTGGAAATATGATCTTTTTTTTTTAAGATTAAAAAAAAATTTTTTTTATTGGGGAATAGGGGAAGGGGAACAGCCAAGTTGTTGTCCTTCAATCTTAGTTGTGGAGGGCGCAGCTAGCTCAGCTCCAAGTCCAGTCACCATTCGCAGCCACACAGCTCAAGGTGCCGTGTTCAATCTTAGTTGCAGGGGCACATAGCGCACCATCCCAAGCGAGAGTCAAACTGGCTATCGTGTTGTTAAGAGCACATACTCTCACCAGCTGAGCCATCCTGCCACTTGCTGGCAGCAAAGCTTGGGCGCAGCTCATTGGCCCAAGTGAGAATCAAACCGGCGATCCTGTTGCTCAGAGCTCGCACTCTTAACCAACCGAGCCACTCAGCCGGCCCTGGATCTCTGGTATTTGCAGGTGTAATTGAGTTCAGTTGAGTTCATACTGGATGAGGGTTGGCCCCAAACCCAGTATGACTCGTGTCCTTACAAGAAGAGTGAAATCGGACACAGAAACACACAGAAGGAAGAACACCATGTGAAGACAGAGGCAGGGACTACAATGACACAACCACTAGTCAAGGAATGCCAAAGATTGCTGGCAGCTACCAGAAACTAGGGAAGAGGCATCAAACAGATTCTCCCTCAGAGCTTCCAGAAGGAACCAACCTTGCCAATGCCTTGATTTAGGAATTCTAGAATAAATTTCTGTTGTTTTAAGTCCTCCAGTTTGTGGTAATTTGTTACAGCAGCTACAGGAAGTTAATACAACATTCTTGCCAATACCTGGACTTGTCAGTCAGTCTTTTTCATTTTAGCCATTCGGGTGGGTGTGGAATAGCATCTCATTGTGTTTTTAATTTGAATTTCCCTTATGGCCAACGAAGTTGAGCACCATTTCATACTGGCCATCTGGATAAACTCTGTTGTGAAGTTTTTCTATATTTTCTTCTAAAAGTTCTTTCATTTCACCTTTCAGATTTAGATCTACAATTCACCTGGATTCGATTTTTGTGTGTGGTATGAGGTTGGAGATGAGGCTGTATTTTTTCTATGGCTGAGTTACAAATTACCATAAGCTTAGCAGCTTAAAACAACACCCATTTATTAGCTCACAGTTCTGATGAGCTCAGCTGGGTTCTCTCCTTAAGGTATCCCAAGGCTGAAATCAAGGCATGAGCTGCCTATCTAGAAGCTCTGGGGGGGAAAAAAAATCATCTTGCAAGCTCATTCAGGTTTTTATAAGAATTCAGTTCTTTGAGGTTTAGGACTGAGGTCCCTGGTTGTCAGCCAGGGGTTCTCTACTCCTAGAGCCCACCGGCATTCTTTCTCACGTGGCGCTCTCCAACTTCAAGCTAGCAACAGCACCGAGTCCTTCTCGTGCTTGGAATCACTCCACTTTTAAGGGCTAAGCGATTATTAGATCAGGCCTACTTGGATAATCTCTCCTTTTTTTGGTCAACTGTATATAACATAACCAGGGGAGTGCTAGTTCATCATATGCACAGGTTCTTTGGGTTAGAGAGGCAAATTTTTGTGGGGCTAGTTTAGTAATTCTGCCTACCAAAGGTGTCAAGATTAACTTTTTTTCCAGATGAATTTCTAAGTGACTCAGTCCCCTTTCTCCACTGCAGAGCAGTGCTACCTTTGTCATTATTCAAGAGACTGTATCTATCTATGTGCATGTCTTACTGGCCTCTCCTGTTCCATTGGTTTATCTGCC